CAGCAAAATCTATTTCGACTCAATATGTCTATCAAGAATGAGCAATAATCCATTGAGCATAAAAAGAGTCAAACGTTTACTGACAACTTCACAATTATTTTTCAAATCAAAAAATTGTTAAAGGAGGCAGAAAAATGAATTGGATTCATATAGTATATTTATATTCAATTGCTCTATTTTCAACTGCAGCATGGTGTAAAGCAGTGGTGACTACTACAAAGATGAAAAAAGCGACTACTACAGCTTCTACCACAACAGCGTACAATCTACATTTATTGTCATTATATAACAGGATTTCACTAGCGAAATGGCTTGTCCAGCTAACGGTCTCCTTTTTTCGCTCATTTTCAGAAAATTATTGTAATAAAGCTCCAGACTAATCTAAAGTTGCAACTACAGTAGATAATTAAATAGATTAAACATTTCTCTACAAAATGAAAAGTGTCTCGACTCTGAACACTGATTTGTTATGAAAATACAGCTCTTGTACAAAGAGCCCAAAAAATCAATCTGGGTCTGGCTGAAAAACGTGTCTGAAAGAGTGAAGACGATAGCCTCCACGACTTTCAGATAGCCCCCAGATTGATTTTTTGGGCTCTATGTACAAGAGCTGTATTTTCATAACAAAGTTTACTGCGAAGCTTAGTTCATGTGGTCGAATCTCTATTCGTACAAAATTGATTTTGTGTTTGTCGATAATTTTAGTTTAGAATACTATAACGGAATATTCTTCCGCTTATTCTGACAGAATAAAGCTTATATCAAAACTGAATAAAAGCGTGATCATTGTGAAGGTTAAGATACTGCTGTTACATCTATGTATACACCGAATTTCTTTTCAATGTACGTCTATTTCTAGCTCAAATTCAACAAGGACAAAGAATTTGTTTCCTGAAAATTCATGAATTCACAAAAAAGTCGGAAAATAATCATCTGAGTCATTTGTACGAGTCATTGTAAAAACAACTCTTTAACACTATCGAACAATACGATAGATTATTTTGAATCCATTCGCTCGAGCAATACTTCATACAACATCGTCTTTTCTCCCTGTCTCTCAAATGTGAGATAAGCAGTGTTTGATCTGGGATACTGATGAGGTGCAATGTATGAAGTAGATCATCGTTCGATTTCAAAATCGAATAAAACTGATCAAAATCCATCATTTGTTCCTCTCCATCATTTTCCCCGTCGGCAACGACAAAAGTGAATCCTTTGAGAAAGATATCAATGATTTCGTTTGTTCTTGTTTCATCATGTGAGACTTTAAATTCTTTGAGGTATTGTTGATAAGATTGTTTCATTTCACTGAGTGAAATTTTTCCATCTCTATCTTGATCAAACATTTTGAATAGAATGAGAGCTTTCACTGACATTGTTCCAACCAAGAGGAGACGTGCTATTCTCAGTACATCAATACCATCGATTGAATTTTTAACAAACGCTTCGTCTTGTTCAAATATTCTTAATAATCGTTCACCTATATCCCATAAAAAGAAGCCTTGATTAAACCTCTCGCGCAATTCTTCCGAGTTCACTTACCTAACACAGGTGTCATTTGAAATAGCCGACAGAAATCATCAACAGTAAATTTCTTCGACCTAATATCGTCGTTGAAATAATTTTCAAAAAATATTAAATATTGTGGAGGGATTGGATCTCGTAATAGTTCACGATATTTCTCTTCTGTGATTGCTGCCTGTGTGACTTTAGTTTCAACAGTGACCAGACTATCGCGACGACTCCTACAAATAGATCTGTAAGACGCAGTTGATGCAAGTATTAATGGACTTACGATGGATAAAATGAAAATGAACGGATAAAATTGACTCTAGAAATGAGAAATATAGTAGCTCGTATCATGCGACTATTATATAAGCTTACAATGATGAGCGTCGTCTTGGACGTGATGTTTTAGATACATTACTATCAACAGAATCTATATGGTTGAATTCTTGTAGAGCGGAAATTGTTCTTGGAGATTGTGGTGAAATGGAATCTGAACGCTGAATTTCGGGTGATAGTTGAACAACTGCGTGTTGTGGCGGTTCCGTGTCGGAAGGTTGAACTTTTGATGTTGGAAGATTTAGTACAAATATCTGAATATCCTTTTTTCTAAAAAATAAAGATTGGTGAGAAAATGGTTGTAGCTTTAACATTTATTACACACAGTGAGGAATTTTTAAGTGTGACTAAGTTAAAGTCTCTCTTCCTTTAGATGAATGGCCGATGACACAATGAGAATGTATTAGGATAGTACTCTGTATGACGAAATACAAGGTTTTCTTTAGTTAGTACATGTAGTTTTACGGATATCGAATGGATCAGATTAAATGGTGGTCTCAGTATTTCGTCAATATCTCTTTTAGTTTTCATTGCTTACACTTGAACGTTTTACCAAAAGATTCCTTGTTCAATTCTCTACAACAATGTACAAGGATGTTTGATCTCAAATTTAAATATGCAAAATTGAACTAATAATACTGTGAGCCTTCAGCATGTCCAACTTTCTAAACTCTCTAGCAAAAAGAAATAGATTTTCTTGATTTTATTCGTTCGCACTTTGAGGCATTAAGAAAAGGAACTACTTATTATTGTAGCGTCTCAAAAGCTCTATCTTTCAATGGTAACAAAAAAACTTCTCGCACCACAATGTGCAGCGCATGATAAGTTTTTCTTTTTTGACATTTTGCAAAAATCACGTTTTTGAAACAGCAGTTTCGGGGAAATCAGAAAATTTGCATATGTCGATCAAAAATAGTTTTTTTTGAGCCTATTTTAATTTTATATTAAAGAGGAATGAATGGCACATCGCAGCCCAGATTTCTGAACTTTCAAAAGTTCTTTTTGTCCCAATGCCACGAGCAAAATACGCTAAATTCTGGCCGTTTACCCAGTTCCTGGAAATTATATAGTTCTTAAGGGGCCCGCCCTCAGAAATCACAATTTTGGGTCAGAAAAATAGATTTTGAGATAAGCACACGGAAAAATAGCCTGGATTGTCTACTTTCAGAATCTGGATCGCTCTTAGATCTAGAAGTGGTTTTCGAGCAAGTTTCCAGAAGGCTTGAAAACCAAGATCTTCAAATAATAATTTTTTTCTGGATACTTATGCAACTGAACTTTCTTTTGAACTCATAGATTTGGAGACCAAACTCTTCTGATCAAAATAAGACGTCCCACAACTCCGTATGGCCTTACTTCAAAAAGCTACCAGCATTTTTCTACATGTCCTAAAATAGATCAACTAATGCACAGCGTTTACTCTCAAAACACGTTTTTTATTCGAACATGCCCAGTGTGGAACACTTTTTTTAAATATGCTTCAAGGTAAAGATCTCGGGTTGGTTTTATTTTAAAAAGTAGACATCTAACTGCATGGGCTGATGGGAGCCGATTTTTGAATTAACCCTTAATTTTCTAGAAAGTCAAGGATCTCTGGAAAACACGAAAGGTTTTTCGGGTATTTGAGGATCTTGGATCTCTAGAAAACGAACGAAGACCTAAATAAAAGATCTGATCCCATCAGTCCACGCAGTTAGGTGTCTACTTTAAAATAAACCAACCGGAGATCTCTACCTTGAAGTATTTTAAAAAAAGTGTTCCACAATGGAGGGTGAGTTTTTGCCCTTGGACTCTGGAAAACCCCAGAACGATAAGAGATAGTGAGGTAGAAAAGATTTCATAACCACACTTTGATATGGCAAACATTTGCTGAAAGTTTCATCAAAATCGGATGTAAGACAAAAAAGTTTTTTTCTGAGGGAGAGGGTCCTTAAGTCGTAATACTTGGTTGAAACTGAGTTCACCCTTCACCATGAGAAAGAGCACTCTGAAGTGTACAAAAAAAGTTGCGTCAGCGATTTCTTTCATTTGAACAAACATGGAAACCATCGAAGTTTTTCTAAGAAAAGTGCGTTTTGTGGTGAATTGAACGGGAACTTTTGGAAAAAAGTTCAAGTGTAACCAATGAAAACTAAAAGAGATATTGACGAAATACTGAGACCGTCATTTAATCTGATTTGCCTCCAGAAAACTCATGAAATTCACAAAAAAAGCCAAAAAAGTAACCATCTGAGTCATTTGTACGAGTCATTATGACACACGATTCTTTAACACTATCGAACAATATGTTGGTTTTTTCAATAAATAAAATACTTATGATCACTAAATGCTTATTTTTCTTCGCAACATAATGAATTTAAACGTTGTTGGCCACTTCAAGTAAAAAGCAATATTTTTTTTTCTTTACATCTCTCCATTTCGTGGAACAGAATGAAAACATTTTAGTAGCACAGTGGCGGCTTTAGCGTGCTGCCGAAGTTTTTGATTTAAAACTATTTAAAACGATTTAAAATAAACAAATTTTTGATTTCATACTATTAAAAGCTACACTTGCTCTTTTGTCCCAATCCGCCAGCACCGGAAATTTTTTCTGGATCCGCCACTGTAGTAGCATCAATAACCAAATGAAGAAATAAAACTTACACTCATAGTTTGCTTCTTTAGAACAATTCTCTCATTAATACGAAGAGATTAAGCAGATTCACATGAATAGAACAGTACATTGGAAATAGCTTCTCTCGGTGGTTATAAAAATAGAGTGAAAGGTACTTACGTTGGTTTCGATAGCATTATAGTGTCGAAAGTTAACCAGACGTGAAACAGTTAATAACAAACAGATGAAAAAAGTGTTGCAAATGTTCACATTTTTATAGCTCACTTTCGAAACATATTTCTCAGAAATTTCGATCATGGTTCAAGCCCTGGCATTTTAGTATGATCGCGAAGGAAGAGAGCATGACGGTATCATTTACAGTAGCAGCAGCAGCAGAAAATGACTAATTAAATACTTGTGTACAATACACACTTAATGAGTAATTGATTTCGCAGAAAGAAGGATTACATCATATCAATAGCAACAGAGAAAGTTTTTCTCGGAAGTTATAACATTAGGTAATCCATATAGAGTCGAAATAGATTTGGCTGGAGTTTTTTGCAGACGAGTTGAAGAAAAATCTTTTTTGCAAGTTACTTATAAGCATAAGGACATGACTAATTCGAAAATATCTCTGCTCAGGTTTTTTCCGTTACCGAGATAAGAGACATTATTTCCTCAAAACTGACTCTTATTTATTGCTCCAAAGGCAAGATTTTTTGGTGAAATTGATTACTTAGGCAGCTGTAACTTTGTACTTATATTCTCTGGCAGTTGTAATTTTATAAAAACTGTCGTCCATGGGTGGAGAGAGTGCGCAAATTTTTCAAATTTTGGACTTTTTCCATTTTTAATCATGTCGGACTTCTGATTTTTTCACGATTTCTACCAATGAAAAGTAAGCTCGCACCTGGCAACATGTCTCTGTAATGTACTCGAGCTACTTATGGTTATTTTATTCATAAAGGTATGATTATATGTAGCCGATAGAAAAGGTAGTTATTTTACGGATAATGCCTCCTATCTCGGTAACGGGAAAGACCTGAGCAGAGATATTTTCGAATTAGTCATGTCCTTATACTTATACGTAACCTGCAAAAAAGATTTTTCTTCAACTCGTCTGCAAAAAACTTCAGCAAAATCTATTTCGACTCAATATGTCTATCAAGAATGAGCAATAATCCATTGAGCATAAAAAGAGTCAAACGTTTACTGACAACTTCACAATTATTTTTCAAATCAAAAAATTGTTA